GAGTGTTATCTATGCAATATACCAACACGATAGACTTGCTATAATGATCTGATAATGGCCACAATATAATACATGGGGCTGTTCATGTCACACTAAGGTTTCTACGGGTGTTTCAGTGAATGAAATGATGTCTTAAACATCGATTAGTATAACAATGACATTATAGATTGGGCGATTATTATACTCTTAGGTGGCTCCGTACCGTAATTATCATATAATAGGAAAAAAATATATGCATTACGATATTTACGATACATTCACCTAGAATAATCTCTATGTAATAATCTTGCTTCATAAATATCACCAGCAAGCATGCTTGTAGAAAGAGCAGACCTATTAATCACTGGATTGTCTGGTGTAGACTCGATTATTTATAGCTGGAACATGCTGAGTGAGGCGTTAAACAACAAACCATCCAACCAATCAACCTAATTGATTACTGAGGATTGTGTGCTCACAATGTCCCCATTGTGTGCCACCATACCGGCATATCACGCTGTTCATACCATCAAGGGTTTCGCTGAGCCAGATTCGATTATTTACTGGCCCCTGTTGGAATATTAATGACTGAGGAGCAAAACAACGCCGATTGTTTTGCATAACATTGTACATTAAAACTTATATTTTGCTGGACAATATTTTTTGCGAAAGAAATTGACTTAAAATATAGGGAAGAGTAATTTGTTTATAACACGCCAACGAAACATGTCGATAATTCGACATTGTTAGTTCAGTGTTGTTCTCATATCGAGTATTTCAACATATGTTTAAATGAAAAAAATAATAGATCCTGATTCAAGGCATTGTGTAAAGAGATAACTTCACACGACGTCTTCATCAATTCTTAAATTCTAAATCATAAATCGAGAACGTTTAAATTTTGCTGTTGGCCAGAAATATCGAATTCATGGACATGCATTATACATTTTTAATATTTCAGTCAATGCTAAATATCACGAAGAGGCAATAACTGTCCCATCGTCAAACACAAAAGCCACTCCGTCATCCTGGAGGTGTTTGCTGAAACATGCACCACTGTCTCCCTCAAGTCCTACTTGTAAATGTCAAGGGCGTTCGAGATGCAAACATGGCGATCTCCGTCGCCAACAGCAGTCTACGCCCGTCTCCTTTAGTCGTGACACATGCCCAATGTATGACTTCATGTGACTTGTCGCATGCATTTGGCTTTTATCCGACCACTTGTAAAGAAATTAACGAAACGATAAAGGAATGGCTTTTAGTTGTCAGACGTTAATACTTTTGGTTAGATTTCTGGCATACCGACTCATTTGTTGCTTCAGCTCTGCTTGGCCTGCAACAACGGCAATGCTGTCATACTGTATGTATATATCCTCAGGGCAGCCAGGGATTACAACAAATATTTTTTTGGAATTAGGGTCGCATCGGATGTACCCAGATGAATCCCTTGAAAAAGGTCAAATGTCCGGTTTCTAGTATGCAGTCACAGAGGTAATACCACAAGGATCTAAAAATGCATTTGGAACTTGGGGAAACGTTCTTCGCCCACTTCGACCAGCTTAAATGTATGCACGTGGACTTTCTTTTTCACTCTTTCTTCCATTTGATCCCCCCTGGCCTTTATGTGTATGTATTGAGATTACTGCCCCGGGTCTGCTGTTTTCGCGGATACCACACTGTTTTGGGTTTTCGAGTGAGTGAACTAGTTTGGTTTTACGCTGCTTTTAACAATATTCCAGCAATATCACGGCGGGCGACACCAGAAATGGGCTTCACACATTGTACCCATGTCGGGAGTCGAACCCGGGCTTTCAACGTGACGAGCGAACGCTTTAACCACTAAACTACACGACCGCCCCTTGGGTTTTTGACGTTGGTCTTGTAGTTTTAGGGGTTACTGATATAACTTCAAATGGCAATAAAGTAATTATTTTGGTGGTATTTATTTATTTTGGTGATACCGTCGAAAGCACATTTGCAAGAGCTTTCCATATATCTATAATGTATGATTTTCAAGAGGGCTCACGAGACCAGCCCCTATTGCATTATGGTTTGAAACCGGGTGTGGATGTGCAGGCCTAGCGGTCGGGTAGCCTAGTGGTTAAAGAGTTCGCTCGTCACGTCGAAGACCCGGGTTCGATTCCCGACGTGGGTACAATTTGTGAAGCCCATTTCTAGTGTCCTCTGTCGTGATATTGCTGGAATATTTCTAAAAGAGGCGTTAAACGATACTCACTCCCTCATGTTGCTGGGAGAGGAATGAGTTAATATCTGGCACAAAGCAGCTCGGTGACAAATGCAGCCCCGTGTTTAATAGCCCCCTGCGTGCAATTAGGCGTCCCCTGTCATGTTGGTATATACACCCACAGTGATGTATCTGCTGATAGAACCAAAATACACATGAATATATCGCAGACTTGCCACATGCCGGGAGAAATCTAATCACTCGCGTTAGTCTGCAGATGCTGTCTTCCTTGGCTATAGACGAATATCATATTTGTAAATAATCAACAATGACGAAGATTCCAGTGACAACTGGGTAGAATGGGTTTGCTCTACACAGCGAATATTGAGCACTCACAATCAGTTTTAGTTGTCGACATGTTTATCAGTGTGTGAGTGTTGTTTATCGCCGCATTTCGCAATATTCAAGTTACATTACGGCGATGAGTATATGAACAAGTCGCCGAAAGCACGAGCAACGGACCATGCCATTGGGGCACGATGACGCGCAAGCAGCCAAGTCACCAAGTCTGACTACCCGATCCCCAGTCGTGGCCTCTTATACGACAAGTATGGGTTAAAGGTACTATTCAACCCAGGAATCACTACGGGGATTATGCTTGTCATAAGAAATTACTAAGGTGTATTGGGTGGTCAGACTTGGTGACTTTGTTGATTACCTGTCATCGTATCCGGCAGACAGAATGGGATGTTGCTCACACTATTGACCACCGAGATGTGACATATTTCTGACTAAGGTTTAAAGCCATACAGACATATTAGACACTGCTTACACGTGAAGATCCCTGTTAGAATAGGTCTTCAGCAACCCAAAAGGCGACTTTGCTTGTCGTATGAGGCGACTGAAGGGATCGGGTGGTCAGGCTCGGTGACTAGGTTGATGCATGTCATCGTATCCCAATTGCGTAGATCGATGCTTATGATGTCAATCACTGGAATGTCTGATTATTAACAGACCACCGTCAAATAGCTGAGTGCGGCGTTAAACAACAAACAAACACTCCATGGTTATGGAATGACTATTTGTTTATCGATGTCTGAATGGGAAGACGATCAGCTGCCTGTTTCGAACTGGCTGCATCAGGTGAGCATCGTAACCAGGGGCAACGGGTGGCTCATTATGTGACTATAAAACGTCAACGCCAGAGAATAATCACTCTCCTTTATCTTCCGAAACAGACTTCATTGGCCGTAAAAAGCGAAATAGCGGTGAAAATTATATGAATGGATCACTGAAATGTCCTGCTCTTGTTGCACCCTCTACTCACACAATTTGCATAAAAGAATAAGTGTTTCTTTGTTGTCTGACGCAGAACAGCAATACTCCTGTAAACAAACCAGACAATCAAGTGATGGACCAGACAATACAGAGATAGTGACCAGTGAAGCACTATACAATTCTCTGAACACATTTGTGACTCTTATCTTAGTTGAAACATAAGTGTGTGTGTGTGTGTGTGTGTGTGTGTGTGTGTGTGTGTGTGCGTGTGTGTGTGTGTGATCCCATCCCAATCCCAAGTTACGATAAGTGGTGACTAACGGGAACGGGTGGTCGGGTTTGCTAAACATGGTTCATACATGTCACCGTATCCGAATTGCGTAGATCATGTCAGTCATCGGATTTTCTGTCCCAGACTCGATTATCTACAGACCTTCGTCATATAGTTGGAATATTGCTGAATGGGGCGTACATACAAACACACTGAAGTTATAAATTCAAATTAAATAATTAAATCAAAATTAAATTTCAGATATCATGAAGCCACTATTATACAAAATCCCGGATTCGCCTTGCCGACAATTAATCCTTGTGAAAGTTGTTTTACGCTCTTACGCAATATCACAGCTGTCATCATGGCGACCTGTATAAAAACGAATCTGCGCATGTTTACAGTCTTTTTCACGGACTCAGTGTTTAATGTCATGCGACAGGTGCTTTCGCAGTCAGGTCTGCACATTTTACACATTCCATCTGTTTTGTTTTTACACCGAAACACTATCGAAACGATATTTTTATGATATTTTCAAATATTGATGTAGTTCATCGCTTAGCAGTTGCAGTTATAGAGTAAAGTGGTGAAAAGCATTACTATGCTTTCACGCATATAGACAGTTCATTATGATGACGCACATATTTTGTCCACAATATTTATTTTTTCTGGTTTGTTGTCAAGGCTCCTGTGACTAGTACCAGTCACAAGTCACATGGCACTGCCATAGAAAATCAGATACGAATAACATCACCATTATTTCTTTGAAAACATTGTAATCGTTTTTGTGAAGCCATAGTGTTGGGTTGTGAGGGGTTATCTCCCCTTATCAAATCGATACCAGATTCGCTTTTAAATATCAAATTATTGCATTAGTTTGATTAAAAGGTGATGGTTAGTGGGCGCGCCTCTCCATACATCAACTCACTGATTCGCGTTAACTTCATGTATTGTAAGCCAGCGATCAAATATAAGTTAACGCTTGGAATATTGCTTCAGCCAACAACTTATTTTAGGAGATGCTCTTAAATGGGAACTCGGAAATTGTTTAAAAATAATAAATGTTAAACAAGTGACAATTTAAACCTTTCAAGTTAACAGCCAAGGTATGAGTTGTACATAGAAACACTAGCAGAGCATTCAACGACTTCAGTCAGTGTTAAAATGTTATTTATATGGACCATTGCGTTGAATTATGAATGAAATTAGATCACGTTTCAATGCGATTACAAACATACCTTAGCACCTCATGCATAGCCATCGGACGAGCGAGGATACGCAACAAGACACTCCCACAGAAGCCAAGAGGCGAAATTCCTCGAAGCCCTTTCGCTGCACGTGCCACGAGACCCTGCCAAATCACGTGACGGAAGTGTCGTCTGCTAGTGTTTTGATCACTGGCGCGAATCTAAGAATGGCAAAGTACGGAAGCATCGGACCGTAGGAGAATTGAGGGAGATCAGCCGACGCTAGGATGAATACTACACTCTGGAGAAGCTGTGTATGAGAGAATTCGTGGAAGTTTGAGATCGGCAGTGGAAACGCATAACCAGATCGCGCGCCACAGACGAGAGGAACGGATTGAGTTACAGCCAAGTTGGGTTGTCAGCGTGATACTGTGTTTGTGTGGCTACTTGTTGTGTTCGCGTTCACGGACCAGTCAGCTATGATGGACTTAAGGACATCATGGGCAAAAAGAACAGCAAGCTAAAGCCGGAGGAGATTGAGGAGCTTAAACGGACAACCTATTGTAAGTACAAATGCAAAATTGGGCAAGATTTTCCACCGATTTCCTTCTCTGACGGACAAGGGCGCCGAGTGTTCGCTCAACTTGCTCCGTCTATCAATATAGTGGGAAGTCGTTGTCGGATAATTAGCCAAGGGTAGTGTTGAGACGCTCTGATCTAGTGATCACTGCCGACTCCATGAGGTTTATGATACCGTGTAGCTTTTCTCAGATCCGAAAGTCAAGAAGAGTTTACAAAACGTAGACCAACATACTTAAAGCTCCGACTCTTTGAATGTTTACCATTCTGCTTGCTGGCGGTGTTCTATATATAACACCATGACTTTAACATGTTTAAAACGAATTTTGAAGACAAGATCCAAGCGTGAGGCAAAAGGTCGGGTTGGTTTTGCAGAAATTCGTTTTATTTCCAATATTGTATGCCTATGGCGTGCAGTTGTATTGATTTCAACACACAGTCGGTGTTTAACTTGCGATTGTACTGTTAAAATGTTCTCTCCTGATGCCTAGAATACGCCGTATCAGCCCATGAACTAACCAGTGTCGAGCTGAATTGATAAGCGGCCAAAGCTACCAACCCATGCATTTTAAAATTGGACTTGATATATTCTGCAGCATGAAACATTATTCATTTTCAGATTCCCTGTGGCTATGGGTGATAGTAGGTTAGGGATCTGTGTTCTGTGGTGTTATTTATACCGTGCATGTTCAGCACTGATGGTTATTGCCTCAGGAATCGGCGAATTCAATGTGAGCAGCTATATTATACAGTCTAATTACTGCTGTCTATCCCTGCCCTGTAATATCCATATGTACGCGGGATGCTGGAAGTATTTGGAACATGTTTTTTGTCAGTTGCAATTTTGCACATTTACATGTTGAAAACTCAAATATGGAGACAACCTGGTGAATAGTGTGATATGAAGAGTGTTTCCTCAATTCGAAACTAGCAACTAACAGAAAGTCTTATATTCATTTAGAATGAATACTAATTATTGTGTCAGACCATGGATGATATATAGGCCTGTGGTCAGGTTGACCTGGCCCTAATCCACCAGCCAGTCAGGTTTCTGGCCCTTGGGTGCTGGGAGTCTGTCACAAGTTGAATGTCCAGTGTTATGTTGGCTTGACATTTTTGTAAGAGGGCAATGTGCTGACAGACCAAGAAGATTGAGCTAGGTACATCATCTAAATAGCCTGTCAACAACAACTGACTACACTACACAACTACTTCTGACTTCCCCATACAACTACTTCTGACTACACAACTACTTCAGACTTCCCCATACAACTACTTCTGACTACACAACTACTTCTGACTACACAACTACTTCTGACTACACCACACAACTACTTCTGACTACAGTACACAACTACTTCTGACTACAGTACACAACTACTTCTGACTACACAACTACTTCTGACTACACCACACAACTACTTCTGACTGCACCACACAACTACTTCTGACTACACTACACAACTACTTCTGACTACACAACTACTTCTGACTACACCACACAACTACTTCTGACTACAGTACACAACTACTTCTGACTACAGTACACAACTACTTCTGACTACAGTACACAACTACTTCTGACTACACAACTACTTCTGACTACACCACACAACTACTTCTGACTGCACCACACAACTACTTCTGACTACAGTACACAACTACTTCTGACTATACAACTACTTCTGACTACAGTACACAACTGCTTCCGACTACGCAACTACTTCTGACTACACCACACAACCACTTCTCACTACACTACACAACTACTTCTGACTACTCTTCACAACTACACAGGACACCTACTTCTGACTACACAGGACACCTACTTCTGACTACACTACACAAGTACTTCTGACTACACAGGACACCTACTTCTGACTACACAGGACACCTACTTCTGACTACACAGGACAACTACTTCTGACCACACAGGACAACTACTTCTGACTACACTAGACACATGTCTGACTACACAGGACACCTACATCTGACTACACAGGGCAGCTACTTCTGACTACACTACACATCTACTTCTGACTTCACTACACAACTACTTCCGACTACACAGGACACCTACTTCTGACTACACAGGACAACTACTTCTGACTACACAGGACACCTACTTCTGACTACACAGGACAACTACTTCTGACTACACAGGACACCTACTTCTGACAACACAGGACACCTACTTCTGACTACACAGGACACCTACTTCTGACTACACTACACAACTACTTCTGACTACACTACACAACTACTTCTGACCACACAGGACACCTAATTCTGACTACACAGGACACCTACTTCTGACTACACTACACAACTACTTCTGACCACACAGGACACCTACTTCTGACTACACAAGACACCTACTTGGGACTACACAGGACACCTACTTCTGACTACACTACACAACTACTTCTGACTACACAGGACACCTACTTCTGACCACACAGGGCACCTACTTCTGACTACACAGGACACCTACTTCTGACTACACAGGACACCTACTTTTGACTACACAGGACAACTACTTCTGACTACACAGGACACCTACTTCTGACCACACAGGACACCTACTTGGGACTACACATGACACCTACTTCTGACTACCCAGGACAACTACTTCTGACTACACAGGACACCTACTTCTGACTACACAGGACACCTACTTCTGACTACACAGGACACCTACTTCTGACTACACAGGACACCTACTTCTGACTACACAGGACACCTACTTCTGACTAAAAAGGGCACCTACTTCTGACTACACAGGACACCTACTTGGGACTACACAGGACACCTACTTCTGACTACACAGGACAAATACTTCTGACTACACAGGACACCTACTTCTGACTACACAGGACAACTACTTCTGACTACACAGGACACCTACTTCTGACTACACAGGACACCTACTTCTGACTACACAACACCTACTTCTGACTACACAGGACACCTACTTCTGACTACAAAGGACAACTACTTCTGACTACACAGGACAACTACTTCTGACTACAAAGGACACCTACTTCTGACTACACAGGACACCTACTTCTGACTACCCAGGACAACTACTTCTGACTACACAACACAACTACTGACTACACAGGACACCTACTTCTGACTACACAGGACACCTACTTCTGACTACACAGGACACCTACTTCTGACTACAATACACAACTACTTCTGACTACACAGGACACCTACTTCTGACTACTCTTCACAACTACTTCTGACTACACAGGACACCTACTTCTGACCCACACAGGACACCTACTTCTGACTACACAGGACACCTACTTCTGACTATACAGGACACCTACTTCTGACTACACTACACAACTACTTCTGACTACACAGGACACCTACTTCTGACTACTCTTCACAACTACTTCTGACTACTCTTCACAACTACTTCTGACTGCACAGGACACCTACTTCTGACTACACAGGACACCTACTTCTGACCCACACAGGACACCTACTTCTGACGACACAGGACACCTACTTCTGACCACACAGGACACCTACTTCTGACTACACAGGACACCTACTTCTGACTACACTACACAACTACTTCTGACTACACAACTACTTCTGACTACACTGTGAGACTAGCATGTCTGTCATACTGATTTTAAGAAACGAATGTCCTGACTCCTGAATCCTAATCCTTTTGAGTTCCCCTTTAGAAAAATGCGCTGATCATGCACCACCGTGTTAGAAAACCTTAATTGTTGAATGACGTCATCAATCTTCAGCTATGACGTCGTTTCTAGTGTGATGTCATTCCGACCTATGTCACGGTAATATTTGAATGACGTCAACAATCTTCAGCTATGATGTTGTTTCTAGTGTGATGTCATTCCGGCCTATGTCAAGGTAATATTTGAATGTCAACAATCTTCAGCTATGACGTCGTTTCTTGTGTGATGTCATTCCGACCTATGTCACGGTAATATTTGAATGACGTCAACAATCTTCAGCTATGACGTCGTTTCTAGTGTGATGTCATTCCGATCTATGTCACAGTAATATTCGAATGACGTCATTAATACCATCTGGATGATGGCAACAACTTGCTGGTGCCCGTGAAGTGATATTTCCACAAGTGCACATATGATTTGTATGAACTCTATGAGTAATAAAAAGGACTTATTATATAGTTGCCATTAGTTTGACAGATCTCTACCCACTATTTAAAAGGGCAAGCCAGTCAAGGAATACTTGCATCTGTCACTTTGCCTCTGTAATTTTGTATTCATGTTTCTTGGATTATTAGCAGAAATCTTCTGGACACGATGTAGTTCACCTAATTTTGCTCTTCTGGCAGCAAATGTTAGAATGCCACTAGGCGGTTATTGATCAGAGAATTAATCACCTTGTTTGTTCATATACAGTCTGGAAATCTTCAGTCTTTCCAGAATGCTGTAGTTATTGAGATTAACATCAATAAGGAACCGCTTCTCATTCTCGTACAAAGCCAAATTACTTTCTTTGATTTTCGTGATAATTTCTTTTTGTTTATTTTTGTTATTGAGAAACATTCCTATTGGTATGGAGGGTGCTTGTAAATATGCCAAAGTTTTCTCTAATTTAGAGTTAGTTACCAATTTAATCTTACATAAGCTATTTGTAGTGTTCTTGTCAGTTTGTTCTGATATATTCCAAGAGACAAAAGGTAGCCAATCTCACAGTTTACTCATCAGCTGACAAGTTATGATACGGATGGGGCTCGCGCATGTTCTCCATGTGATAAGGGTATCTGGAGAACTACTCTCAACTGACATGGGCCTTCTGTTGACAACATACATAGAAACAAATGTAAATTCTTCTCTATTTATATAGGGCTTCAATTTCCTCGGTTTCAAATGAAACAAATAGGGCGCCAGCACTCTATTGCTTCTTGTGAGAAGCAAGTTGCTTGTTTGTTGTTTAACGCCGCATTTAGCAATATTCCAGCCAT